AATATAGAAAATTTTTATTTCAAAAAATATAGAAAATTTTAATGTTTAGAAAACTTAGAAAATTTAGAAAATGTTTAAAACAAATACGACGAAATGGTACAGTCGTTAAATTACTGTAAAATGTCCAAGGTCCGTGATTGTCTGGATTCGTGATTAATATTCAAGGAAGTTGAAGAAATTGATATGTGCGATGGGTTCTGATATCGTAGAGTCGATATCCTTTAAGACCCCTGTAAACGGTATTTGAACAACGTAAATGGAACATGCCGGAAAATTCCGCAACATATCATCAATTAACATCTATTAATATACGTTCGAGTATCTACAACGTAAATTAAACCTGGTGTCTAGTTCGATCCGGTAATCGGAGCAACCTTACTGCTTGCATTACCAACGTGGTAAAGAACGATTGATTTACATATGTACTGTATTTACTTTGTAACGCTTGTGCTTACGTAAAATGTTGTTCTTACGTTGCATTTTATCATATTCTAATTATTCCCATATTAGCAGGAAGTGAAATTTCTTCGTAGAATTTTTCAAAGCAGATGAAAAAATTCAGTATCGGAATCAGTATTAGCAGAAAGTAAAGTTTCTGTTTTTTAGTAAAATTCCACTGGATATTAGAAGGAAGTGAATTTTATTCGTAGAATTTTCGAATTGGAGAAAAAAGAATTGCATTGGAGTAGAAAAATAAGGATTGCACTGAATTCTTCGAAAGTGTTTTTACTTTCGATAATCGTCGCGAGGTATAATTGATCTACCGAACAAATTAACAATTTAAATGTACAAGTTATGTGACGGTAATTGCAAAAAAGGAAGTTTAAACTCAGCAGACTGGTCAAAGAACACTATTATCAATATTCAATCCTCGTTGCCTTAACAAAGAAAATAATAAATCTAAATCATCTTATAGAAGAAACTCATACAGAATTACGTTCGTTCTCTTGTGTCACGAAGTTACCAATTCGAAAGAAGCTTTTTACATATCCAATTTAACTCATCTTACAAACTTTCAATTTCCACACAGAACACAATTGAAAGTGACTAACAGATTCTTTTCTTCGATAAATTAAAAGCGACAGAAAGAACGGTCGAACAACGTTACAACACATTCATCCCCTTTCATCTTAACCAATTGACAAAGGAAGATGAAGATAATTAGGAAATATAGCTAATTAAATGATGGAATTTAGCAACTTTCCAAGAAAAGTGAATATTCGATACTGGTAAATGTTATCTCGTTTTCTAGATAGCACACAATCTTAAAGACTTCGAGTGAAAGCGTAAAAATGTCCAAAAGACGTCCAGTGTTCACGAATCTTTTGCAAAAATCGACCTAAAATGGATGTCTTTGTATAAATTTCCCATTTTCCATCGATACGAATCTAATTGTTCAACTCTTTCACCGTTGCGTCCAAAAGACGTCCAGTGTTCACGAATCTTTTGCAAAAATCGACCTAAAATGGATGTCTTTGTGTAAATTTCCCATTTTCCATCGATACGAATCTAATTGTTCAACTCTTTCACCGTTGCTTGCGCCTATAGGCTGTTCGAATATTTTCTCGCGCTGTGTCCTTCGCGCCTATAGGCTGTTCGAATATTTTCTCGCGCTGTGTCCTTCGCGCCTATAGGCGTTTCGAATATTTTCTCTCGCTGTGTCCTTTTCTCACTTTTTTCCACAATTTTACCTTAATTCGATCCTCTTTCTTCAAATTCTACTTTAAAAATTTCTAACCCTTTGCACTCCGAGGTCTTTTTGCTATAAAAAAAGGTCGCAAATCGGAGATCTCCTTTGCAATTTTTCAAACCAAATTTTATTTCAATACTCAATCTATTTTCTATTTCTGCTCTCTGTCATGATTAACAATTCACCGTTATTTCAATGCCAATTATTTAACAAATTATTCCAAAATTATCTCGTAATTATTTAACGTCGCTTCTCAGCCGCCGCTCGATTGCAAATGGTTAAACATTGAGAAACGTCAAAATGTAAGAAACAGTTAATGACGTTGCATAAAAATTCACTTTTGAAACGTTGCCAACAGGTCATTCCAATCTGACCAATCCTACTATCAAAACGAACACTCACGTCGTAGCTCACGTCTCCCAAATAAAAGTACTCTTTTTCTTCTTTTTCAAACAAAAGTTCAACGAGCAAATTCTACTTCTGATTATCGACGGCTACTAGACGCGTTTTTTCTTGACACCCTGTAGACGGTACGCGCGCCGGTACGTGATTCAATGCAACGTGCCACACGAAGAATACGTAAATGATAGAGCGAGGAGGTTTGAGTCAACCGCGGCCCCGGTTTGTCCCGGTGCGACGACAGCAAACGTAAGAAGAATTCCAGCTACCGCGTGGCACGGTGTGCAGGTGATGGCGTGCAGCTTACAAGTCAAAAGAAAATGGGATTAGTCACCGTTGTCCGTGAGAGAACGATTCTAGTTCCGGAGCTGACCGGGGATTAGTCAGCCTTTTTTCTCTTCTTTTCTGCGACTCTGTAACATATCCGTTCCTCCGTTGATCCTCGCGATTGTTCCCGCGACGGAATCGTACACCTGGTTATGCGAATCGAGACGGTGGTGGACAGTGGTTAGGCATTAACTATGTCGCGGCGACAGTAGCACCGAGACTTTTGTCTCGTTATGGCACGATTAAGGTATTATATCGTTAGATTATACTTGCTGTCGTCAACGTAGTGGGTGATCGATCATCTGTATACCGTATTGTTGTCATGGTATATACGTATATGTGCACTACCGGCCAAATGTTTCGAATCACTGTGCATTGTAAGTTACAGAAAAATTTCCAGAGAAAAGTTAGCAATTTTAAGAATTTTTCGACCAACTTTTTGTCATTCAAATTAATCGAAGCGTGGTCAAGCGCTGTTTCCACAACATCAATTTCAGGTCCATGAAGAATTAGTAGCAAATTGAAGATTGACGTAAACCGACAGGTGATTCGAAAGTTTTGGCCGGTGGTGTATGTAACATTGATGGAAGTTGGAGTTTTTAAGTGAAGAAGTTTTCGTTGTTTGATTGTTGGAAGAAAATGAAAGAAGATGTATTGTTAGGCTTTACCGTTGTTCCGGAGTTTTAGATACGTTGATGAATTTTTTGGAAATTTTTGTTCCAGGCTGTTTCAAATCAAGAGAATAAAATTAATTAACGTATGCATGTATAGTGTGTGAGTTTGACTGAAATGGAATGGAAATGTTGAAGAAGAAATGCAAAGTGTTGTAATAGAATTTGATCGAGGGCTTTAAATTTGAAACGGTGCCGAACTTGATCAACTGCAAAATTTATCTTCGTTGGAAGAAGTTTCGATCGATCGATTGTTGGAAGAAAATGAAGGAAGATACTTTTCGTATAAACGTAATCGAGTGTGCTTCTTCTGGACTGTTCAATTTAGAATTTTCCTGCCTCTGAAATATTCGTTTTTTAAGCGAAGAGTATTTCAAAACGAAGAAAATACAAAAGTATCGTTTCTGTTGGTTCTGATATTCGAATGAAATTGAACGGTGAAAACGCGAGGAAAATGGCAAAGTGAAGATCTGTCGAGAGCTTGAAATTTGAAACGGCGTCGATCAGCTCTGGGCAATTCGTCTTCATTAGAAGGGAAAGCACTGTGACACTTTTTAAATTACCTGTTCTCTTGCGAAGAAAGTGTCATATAAACGAAATTGTCCGTGATTTCTGCTGTCGCAAGTAAATTGCCCGGGAGTATGATGGAATTTGGCCGACATTAATGTGCCGTGAAATAAGCGCATATTTCGAAAGTTGAGGGAACGTTGTTTATCGTTATATAACGACTTGTTATTTAGACAAAAAAAAAAAAAAGTCTGATCGAAAGCGATTTTTTCTTCTCTTCTTTTTCTTTCGCCGACGAATCCAGTCTTGAGGAACGAAGATCAATGACTTTTGCGATATAATGTAATTGAATGTTAATCGGTGAATATTAGGCTAAAATATTTCGCTAGATGGGTGTATGTCTGTGTTGAAATAAATTTCACGGTGCACGACCAACGGATACAATTATTCACGCTATTATAACTGTTAACATAAGAAATAAACGCGTTGGTAATGTTTTCTCAAAGCATGAAATACCTTTAAA